CTAATGACCCCCGCCCTAGCCCAGGCTGCAAGGCTGGTGAAAAGCCCAGGTTAATGGCATTCATCTGGCTTTTCATAACTGGGGCTTCGCAATCTTTGTGCTTGAACTAAACACAAACAACTACACTGCTGATGGGTGAAACTGGCTTGTTGTCTGCCAAGAGCCTCCTGAGACAGTGTTTACCCCTCCGCTGACCCAACTCAGAAACCTCACTACTGTGCCAGAACTAGAGCACAGATTGACTTACAGGGAAGACTCACATTAGCCAAGCTCACATGCCTGATGTATAAAACCAGGAGCCATGTTTTCTGGTTTTGTTTTAAAGATTTTATTTATTTATTTGAGAGAGAGAGAGAGAATGAGCAGGGAGAGTGGCAGAGGGAGAGGGAGAAGCAGACTCCTCGCGGAGCAGGGAGCCTGATGTGAGGCTCAATCCCAGGACCCCAGGATCATGACCTGAGCTGAAGGCAGATGTGTAACTGCCTGAGACTCACCCAGGTGCCCTAGAAGCTATGGTTTTCATGGACAATGAGCAACTGAGCTGTGACAAGGACTGGGCTATTTTCTCCCACCCCCACCCCCGCAGAGATGCAGTCTTGCCTTCCTCCACCACCCTCTCTCTGACAGGATCACAGGGCTTTGGCATCCCGAGGCACCAGGCACTGTACCCTCACCTCTGAGGCCTCTCCGAGTGGCTCCCCTTGCCTGCTCCCTGCAGTGGTGAGACTGTCCTGGCCCCCAGCTGCTGAAGCTCAGACCCCACCTCCCATCACTGCAGTCAATCCTCCTGACTCCTACTACAACCCCTCCCCTTGGGGCTTTGGGGAAAAATCCCAGCACAGACAACAGATTGAGCTCATAAACTCCCCTCATTTCAATTTTGCTTTTTATGGAATTCTAGAATCCACAGCAGTCCCTTTCTCATAGTGAGAGCTCCCCGAATCATTACTGGGGGAATGGATGAGTGAGCTGGCCTGGCTCCTGCACCTCCATTCTCTCTTCCTGAAGGTAAGCGCTTTCCTGGGCAGCAAACAGACCCTGGGGGCTTGAGGACTCAGGTATGCTTACTCCCAGAGCAAACGCAGCTGGCTCCTGCCACCTTGGACCTTGCTGGACTACCTTTTCCTGGCTCACAGCAGTCACTCCTCTCCCGTTAGGGCTTACAGGCCTGGAAGCTGTTCTCTCTTTAAGAAGACTGTGCAGGTCTCTGTTCCATTATAAACTGACTTGAAATTTAGCTTTGAGAGTAGTTATATTTCCAAAATCTAGAGGGGCTCCTTGGGGTGCCATCAGGGTCTACCCATAGACCCAGGCAGGCTCTGGCCACAACTGCCAAGTCCTTGGAGAGCAGTCGGGGGGCGGTGGGCTTTGGAGTCAGGTGACTGAGTGTAGGAGATTGCCTGTGTGACTTTGAACAAGTTGAACAACCTCTCTGGGCTCAGCTTCCTTATCTTTAAAGCAGAGTCTATGTTGCGAGAACCTGGTAACATAATTATACCTCGCTGGGGGCACGATGGTGGTCACATAATCCTGGCTCGGCACTACCACTCCTGCAGCTGGGGGATTCTGGCTCTGGAGAGCTCTTTGCAGTGTCTTTGGGGAAATCCTATATGCTAAAGAGGACGGGAAAGAAGAGGGCAGGCGTCACCCCGGCCAGGACCAATGGCTCAGGGCTCAGTGGCAGCTACTGGGCCTCACCCTCACTTTCCAGTAAGGAAACAACAGCCTGGCAGTAAAGGCTGGAGCTGGGGACACACGGTTCGGGTTGAGTCTAGCCTGTGTCCTCTGCACTCCATGGAGTGGGCTGCCCTGCAGGGCTGACCAGCTGGATGGACAGAGGAACTGGTACCTTCTGTCTGCAGACCACAGACACGAGAAATCCCGGCACAGGAGGTCTCACAGGAGGCTGCAATTTAACACATGACATGCAGATATGCAAAATATTTAGCTTATTTATTTCTCTCTAATTTATTTTGCCATTTTCACAAGTCTCCACCCCATCAGAGACTATAAGCTTGACATTTTAAAGAAAGCCCATCGGGGCAGCCCGGGTGGCTCAACAGTTTAGCGCCATCTTCGGCCCAGGGCATGATCCTGGAGACCAGGGATCGAGTCCCACATCGGGCTCTCTGCATACAGCCTGCTTCTCTGCCTGTGTCTTTGCCAATCTGTGTGTGTGTGTGTGTGTGTGTGTGTGTGTCATGACTAAATAAATAAAATCTTTTTTTAAAAAAAGAAAGAAAGCCCATCGGATGGGGCCTTATAGCTTGAACACAGCACAGGAGATGGAAACTCCCACTTCTCCTTCCTGAAGCCAATGCAAAGACAGCCACATGCAGAAGATAAACCATGACTCTTGCCTCACACTGTACACGAAAATTAACTAAAAAATGGATCATGAACCTAAATGTAAGAGTTAAAACTACAGAGCTTCTAGAAGAAAACATAGGAGAAACCCTCCTGATCTTATAGTTGGGAAGGATCTCCTAGACAGGGCACACAAAAACACTAATTATAAAAGGAAAAAAAAAAACAGTACATTGGACTTCACTGAAATGAATGAAAAATCTTTGTTTTTAAGATTTTCCCTGGAGAAAATGAGGAGGAAAGGCATAGACCGGAGAAAACATTTACAAATCATATTTTCAAATCTAACAAAGGACTTGTATCCAGAAAATATAAATAATCCTCACAACCTAATAAGACAAAGTATTTGTTGCATGTGTGTTTTTTTTTATTTATTTTTTTTTAAATTTTTATTTATTTATGATAGTCACACAGGGAGAGAGAGAGAGAGAGGCAGAGACATAGGCAGAGGGAGAAGCAGGCTCCATGCACCGGGAGCCCGATGTGGGATTCGATCCCGGGTCTCCAGGATCACGCCCTGGGCCAAAGGCAGGTGCCAAACCACTGCGCCACCCAGGGATCCCACATGTGTGTTTTTTTAATTTTATTTTTTTAACTCCTGACCCTGAGATCATGACCTGAGCTGAAATCAAGAGTCGCATGCATGGGTGCCTAGGGGCTCAGTTGGTGAAGTGTCTGCCTTCAGCTCAGGTCATGATCTCAGGGTCCTGGGATCAAGCCCCGAGTTGGGCTCCCTGCTCAGCGGGGAGCCTGCTTCCCCCTCTCCCTCTGCCCCTTCCCCCACTCATGTTCTCTCGCTTGAATGAATACATTTTTTTTCATTAAAAAAAAAAAGTTGGATACTTCCCCAGCTGAGCCTCCTAGGCGCCCCAAGACAAAGGATTTGAATAGACAGTCAACCAAAGAAGATACACATATGAAAAATAAGCACATGCAAAAAGGCTCAATGTCACCAATCAGTGAAATGTAAATTAAAACTCCAGGACTGGACACCTGCTAGGATGGTTAGAACTTAAAAGACAGGGCACATGAGGATGTGAAGCATCTAGAACTCTCCTGTTGCTCTCATGTGCTCATGGATGTGTACAATGGATCATCACCTAGAAAATAGTTTGGGAATTTCTTAAAAAGTGAAACAAACAAACAAAAAAAAGTGAAACATATACACACACACTCTCTCTCTCACCAGCCCCTCTGCTCTTCGGTATTTATCGGAGAGGAATGAAAGCCTACGTCCCTAAAAGACTTCCATATGAATGTTCATAGCAGCTTTATTCATAAGAACCAAAAGGGGAAAAACTTGAATGTCCACTAATAGCGGGGTGGATAAGTAAACACGGCACGTCCACAATATGGAACACTACACAGCAATGAACAGGGACGGACCCTGGTTACACGCAACAGGATGGATTTCAAAATAATTCCAAGTGAAAGAAGCCAGACAAATGAAAAGATATGCTAGAAGCCTCCATTTAGATTAATTTCTAGAAAATGCAAACTAATCTATAAGCAGAAATCAGTTCAGGAGTGGCCTGAGGACAGGGTTAGGGGAAGGAGGAGCCCAAGGGAGAAATCACAAAGGGGTGAGAGCAAACCTGGAGTGATGTAGACGTTCATTAGCTTGATTGTTGTGATGGTTTTATGGGTGCATAAAGCTTATTAAACAGCACAGGTTAAACGTGCACAGATTATTGTATCATTTATGCCATAATAAAGCTGGGAAAAAGGAAAAAGAAATCACTCTGGAGTAACAAGGAGAAAATCCCAATAAAATCCAAAAGGCAGCAACGACGTAAAACATTCTATAATTATAATCACGTTGTAATTATATGAAAAATAAATGACAAAATCTAGGGGGGGACGTCTACCATCTTGAGGCAGAAGAAGTCTTCAACTTACGAGTCGAAGAAATGGCTCAAACCCAAACTTCTGCAGAAGGTCTAGAAATAATCCCACCACATGTGAGATTCTACAGGACTCAGCTACACAAATCAGGGAAAATCCAGTCTTAAAAACTTACATTAAAATAAACAGAACCCAGGGACACCTGGGTGGCTCAGCAGTTTAGCACCTGCCTTCGGCTCAGGGTGTGATCCTGGAGTCCCAGGATCGAGTCCCACATCGGGCTCCCTGTGCGGAGCCTGCTTCTCCCTCTGCCTGTGTCTCTGCCTCTCTCTCTCTCTCTCTCTCTCTCTCTCTCTCCTCTCTGTGTCTCTCATGAATAAATAAGATCTTTAAAAATTAATTAATTAATTAAACAGAACCCCCAAAAGAGGAAATCACTTATGTTCCAAAGTAGGAAGTCAGAAAAAAGAAAAAAACAACCTAAGAAATGGATAGAACATGCATAAAGGTCAAAGTAAGGGATCTGAAAACCAGGCCCTGGGCATCTCCTCACTCTTCTAGTACACCCCTCCCTCCGCCCAGGCTCCCCACCAGTCCTCCTCCCTCCCCTTCTGGGCTCACCAGGTACCCCTCAGGGCCTGCTCCACCCTACTTCACCCCAGCTCTCCTGCCTTCCAAGCCTGGCTCACTTGGGGAGGTAGAGGCCTGGAGGAGGGTGATGAGTACACACCTGGGGGCAGGGTGGGGTGTGTGAGCACACACCTGGGGGCAGGGTGGGGGTGTGAGCACATACCTGGGGGCAGGGATAGGGGGTTGAGCACACACCTAGGGGCAGGGTGCAGGGGGAGGAGCACACACCTTAGGGCAGGGCTGTGGGGATGAGCCTCACATGGAGGTGGGGCGGGGCGGGATGTGCTCAGGGCTGCCAGGTGTGGGCTGCCAGGCCTCCAGAGGAAAGTGCTTCTCATGCACTGGCTGAATGAACAGACCACGGAGAGGAGGCTGGGATGGAAGGCAGACACGAAGGCCACTCCCATCCCTTCCCAGAGCAGTGGTCCCCAGTTAGCGGGATGCTAGGATTGAACCAGGGGGCCTCAAACTTGCCAAGGCCCAAGCCCCTCCCCCGGGTACCCAGATTTAAATCTGGGCATCTCTCTCAACCTTGGTCAGCTAGTTGCAAGAACCAGGAGCAACAAGGCAGAGGAGCCCAGGATGCAGGAGGGAAAATGTTGTGGAAGCTGGTCTGGAGTTCAAACCCCATCCCTGCCTGTCACCAGCTCTGTGACCTCAGACCAATACCTTGATCCCCCTGAGCCTCCTCAAATATGGTACGGGTACCTCCTGTAAGGTAAACGGGGATCAGGGATGACGTAAGTGGCTCTTCAGCTCAGCACGGCTACCTAGGAGAGTGACAAACGGGCGCTGTCACCACTGCCCACCCCCCCAGCCCCCCAGCCACGCTGATTCCTCCAAGCCAACAACTCTAAAACCACCTGTCACATCTGGAGGTTCTACTGTGAGCCAGGCGGGGAGAGGCTGGCCTTGGAGACAGGGCTGCCTGGATCCACAGTCCCAGCTTCCATGAGACTATTCTGGGTCCAATTCAGCATGCCTGGCTCCTGGCTCAATGGGCTTTGTCCCAAAGATGTGATTTCTATTTTGATTCCACGTGACATTTAATGAAATGACTTTCAGACACCACGCAGCATGTCTGAGTTATGAAAGCACAGCTTCTGGATCCCCACCTCGACACAATCACGGGCCCCCCTTGTGGCTTCAGGGGCCGCCCCAAGTCTCCTGAAGGGGGTACACGGAGCCCGCAGATCCAAGGTGCAGCGCATAGCCCTGGGGGCCCAAGGCCTGCCCCGATGGAAGCCCCCCTGCCCCACCCCACCCCCGTCTGCCCCAGGCCTGGCACTCCCATCCCACCTGGACAGTGACAGCAGCCTCTGCCCGGGCTTCCTCTCTCCAATCCAGTGCTGCTTTTCCAACTTCAGATCAAAAAACATTCAGGGAGACGGGAAATCAGTGCAGAGGGTTGCAAACAGCATTTTTAGAAAAACAAATGAAACAGAACAGAAAATGCTGGAATGCACTGCACAGGGTTAGAGGGATTGCGCCCTGGCACTGTACACAGGTCTCTTGCAAAATGAAAGCCTTGACAGGACGCAGCTCTAATCCACTGCCTCTGACCTCTCGGAAATGCACATCCGATGTTAGTCCTCCACTAAATCTCACTGAGGGCTCAGGGACAGGGTTCAGATCCCTCAGCATGACACTGGCAGCCCCCAAGACCTGGTCCCACCAACCCTTACCAAGCCCCCCTCCCCAGTAGAGAGCAGGGCCAGCCGACCGAGAGGACTGGCGGGTCCCCAACTGGGTGAGCATGGTGATGTCACTGGGGCCGTCTCCTAGGTGATCCCACGCCACCTGCTGACCTCCTCTGGGCTGGGATGATTTCCTAGATTCTATAGAAGCAAAGGTATAAATATTTCTGGAAGCCTTCTGTTCCAAAGGAAGTAGAAGCCCCACAATTTCTCAACAACTTGGCTATTAAAAATAGGAATTCCACCTACTCGCTGAACAGTTTGTCGGGGATCACTGGAGGGGCAGAGTCATGAGGTCGCTCACGTGTTTGGGGCCGAGGAAGCTGCCGGGCTCAGAAGCTAAATGCTGCAAGGACGCAGGCAGCCGCATGCAGCTGGAGCCCGAGCTCCAAGACCCCCCAAATCTCTAGAACCGCAGGGATGCTCTGCCAGCAGCTCCATAAACCTCATTTCCCGCCACATCATGCAAACATCTGGACAAGCACAGGTCCCAGAGAAACTTGCAAAAGAAATAAATCGTGCATTAGCGAGTAGATGCGAGACCTCGCCTCTGACCTGGGGAGCACCCAAGGAGGTGCCTGGGGCGCTGGCTGCCGACCCTGGCTTCTCTGAGTCCTCAGAAGGGAGCACAGCCCGGCCCCGAGCCAGGGACAAGTATGCCCCAAGGATTCCACCTTCGGGTCGGGCTCCGGGCCCGGAAGGCCTGAGCATCTGGAGTACGGGACTGTCTCCAGAAGGCCCTGTGAGGGGGCGGCAGTGGCAGGACGGACAGAATGGTCAGCACCGCGGCCACTCGCAGGTTAGCCAGATGGACAGGGGAGAGGATGAGGAGCTGGCGGTGAGCCCCACGTACCAACTATCCCCTCAGGGGCCAGAGGCTCCAAAGCATCATTTCGCTCTCTGGTTTTGTTTTGTTTTGTTTTAAGATTTTATGTATTTGAGAGAGAAAGAGAGCGCACAAGCGGGAGGAGGGGCAGAAGGAGAGGGACAAGCAGACTTCCTCTGAGCACAGAGCCTGACGTGAGGCTCGATCCCAGGACCCCCAGGATCATGACATGAGCCAAAGGCAGATGCTCCACTGACCGGGCCACCCAGGCACCCACATTACCTCTTTCAATCCCCACTGCTGTGACCCTCCTGCTGCTGTGGCGGGGACAGCAGCCTCCCCCAGGTCGGTTACCCACTGGCTCCCACATTCACTCATTCCCTCAATAAACATTTATTTGAGAGAATCCAGAGTGCTGTGCCCATGTCGGGGGCTGGCTGAAGATACTGTGGGGACAGTAGACCCTGTCCCTGGCCTCGGGGGCTCACAACCTGCAGGGTGGGAGGACGGTCAGCAAAGTGGCAGACAGGTGCATTCTACACAGCAGACTCTCAGGGCGGGTACACCGCAGGCCATGGGGGCACATCTGGGGAGGTGCCCAGGCTGAGCCCAGACGGCGCAGAACTTGGACAGGTAGCCAGGTCCAGGCAGGGGGCGGGAGTCGCAGAAGCAGTGTGTCTGGAGCCCCGAGGCTCAGGGAGGGTCCGGGCACGGCTGGCAAGGTGAAGCCAGCGAGGCACCTGGGCTAGTGCAGGATGAGGCCTTCACCTTGAGGAGCAGGGGTGCCCTGAGGGCTTTAGCACCCAATATGCTCTCTGCAAGATCATTCTAGGCGCTGTGTGGATAACGGACCAGGGGAAGACAGAGTGGGAGCGGGCAGCCTAACCAGAGTGTGGCCGTACCCAGGAGAGGTGGCCTTGGGGATCTCCAGTGCTCCAGTCCTTGCACTAGAGGGCAACTGGGAGTGGATCAGCAGGTGGTACTGGGCAGGGGGTGCAGAAGGGAGGGTGCGAGGCTCCCCATCCTGACCATACAGGAAATAGCACAGCCCACACCTGGATATGCCCCCCAGCTCCTAGGGGCCAGAGTGCCATTTGCCAGACAGAGGGCCAGCATATTTGGGGTGCATTTGGGGCAGTGTCGGCAGGGCGCCCAAGCGGAGATGTCTAGTTGAATGTTCGGTCTGGAACTCAAAACCCACGTTGAGCTCCACAGACAGGAGTGAAGAGGCCCCAGGAGAAAATCCTGCAGGTACAGAGGAGGGCAGAGTGTGTACAGCAGAAGGCGAAGACTGAAAAGGGGCCATTGGAGAGGTAGGTATAGGATCACGGGGACCCGGGGGGAGAGCTGAAGGGTGGTCACGGCCACAAGGGGGCGGCGCGATGGACATAAAGGTTCAGAGCAACTCTGGAACCAGCCTGCCCTGCTGCCAGGCTCAAGTACCAGTTCCTCCCCTTAACTGGCTGTGTGACCCTGGGCAAGCACTCAGCCTCTCTGTGCCTTTGGTCCCTCAATCGTGAAGGGACTTTGTGAGGAGTGAATGAGTCAGTATATGAAAAGGCCTTAGAACAGCCCACGACAGCGCCTCATAGCAAAGGTCTCAGCCTCTCGGGACCAGAACGCAGGGTAGTGGTGAGACGGGGAGGAAGCAGAGCTAAGGCGTGAGGGGACGTGGGTAGGTGGTAGTAGCTGCAGAGACGGAACAGGATGGGAAAGGGTGTCCGTCACCTCCCAAGGATGCATCACAGGAGGGATAGAGAAGCCCAGATGTGGGGTCCGAGCGCCCAGCACCCTGTGCCCTGCACCCCTGCCTGGTTGTGGCAGTGCTGGCTGACTGGTGTGAATGCCGACCCTACCCGCCCATTGCCTGCGTCCTCTCCTCCAGATAAAACTGCTTGGCCCCAAACTGAGTTCACCCTTCTAGGACCCTGGAGCCTCTGACTCCTCTGTCATACGCAGGCAACCCCTGATCTGATCCCGCTGGCTGTCTTTCCAACCCAGAACTCGGCCTGCCTGCCACCTCCACTATCGCCCCTCACCACCCCTGCAAGTCTCCAGCACCTCTGACCTGGACAGCTGCGACAGGCTCAGAGCAAGGCTCCTGCTTCGCCTGGGGCACGCCCACTGACACTCGACCTATGGAAACAAGAGTGTGCCTTTGAAAAGGTTAAGACTGATCCCAAACCTCCCACGCTTCTCATTCCACTCAGAATGAAATCCAAACTCTTTACCGGGGCCTACAAGGCCCCACCAGACCCACTGTACACACACACACTGCCACCCCCATCCCTTACTCTGCTCTGGCCACACAAAAAACAAAAGCATCCCGGCCGCAGGGCTTTTGCACTAGCAACGCCAATGCCAAAAACAAGCTTTCCTCTGCTAACCATGCGGTTTGTCCCCCACTTCCTCCTCCAGTTCCTCGGAGCTCTTCCTCCACTACCCACATGAAAGAGCATGACCCCTTTGCCTGTCGCCGCCTCCTCCCTACTTCCATTTCCTTCCCCCGACTTACCGCACATCAGTTAGTTGGCTGGTTTCCCAGGTCCCCCGGGCTGCACAATCTCCACGAGGGCCTGCGCTTCACCTGCTTTGTGTTTCATTGTCTCCCTGGCACCTGAGCAGAGCAGACACGTAGTAGGGCTCTCAGTCAACACAGGTGAGTTAACGGCCTCTCCACCCCACGCCTCACCCCTCCTCCCAATTGTTTTGTGTCTTGTGTGCGCTACTTTCTGGCCCTGAAACAGCAGTCCTCTCACCCACCCCTCCCCTCTTTCCTTCCCAACAAGAACAGGTCGGGACCTGCTCTCAACCCCCTCCTCCTCCCTAGACCCAATCCCACCCTTCTCTTCACCCAATCTCTGGGACCTTGGGACACAGGACCCTTCATCGCCTGCTCTCTCGACTCCAAGACCAGGCCTCAGACACCAGGCTCCCAGACACAAGCAGCCACCACCTATGCTGAGAGCTGAGGCCTCTGTGGCGGGAACCAGGATGCAAAAGGAGGAGATGGTCCTGCCCCCGGGTTGACAGCCTCCCCGGGGCGGCCACCTCAACAGAAGGGACGTCATCCCAGCACAGCCTAACGCTCCGCCCGAGGTCCTGGCTCTGCCACCCGCAGACTTCAGCCCTGGGCCCTGGAGAAAGTCTCCTGAGCAGCAGGATGGGGACGTAGCTGGGTGTGCTGGGCTCCAGGGCCCAAGGCTTTCTGACCTGAAAGGGGGGGCTTCAGAGCTGGCCCCCCGGGAACTGGCTCCGGGTTCCCTGAGCTCCAACCAGAGGCAACCGCAGAGGAGTGGGCCGACGCATGAGTCACCAGCAGGCCCTGCGAGTGGCCATGACGTCTGCGTGATTCAGCCCGCACACTGCAGGGCACTTCCGGTGACAGCTCCGGGGCAGGCCCAGCCCTCCAGGCTCTGGGGTGTGGGTGGTGGTGGTGTGGTGGGGCACCAGCCATCTGCCCGGGGACGTACCGCCTTAGTTGCCACAACCGCTCCTCAATATTTATTACAGGAAAATTAAAACAGGAAAACAGAACAGAGAGAAAAACTGCTGTCACTCCCACCTCCCTGTTTTCCTTTCTCCATTTGCGATACCTCCTGTCTTTACCCGTATGTACCCAGATTTTTATGCCATCGTAACCACGGTACACGTATAATTTATGTGCTGCTATTTTCATCCACCCCTCTTCTGCGAGCTGCTCTCCGTGTGGCTGCATGGCCTTCATTTATTTACCACCCATAGTGACCGGTTTCGCACTCCCTGGTAGAGATACTCCCTAATTCGTTCACCTGTTCTCCTCTGCTCGGCGTTCAGATTATTTCCAGCTCGAACTCTAACTGGAGACGAAAGCCGAGTCCCCTTTTAAAGATTTCAAAATGAATGGGAGGATGCGGCCATTCAGCGAGCATCCCCGGCGGAGAGCCTTCCACCTGCAGAGGGCACAGAGAGAGCAAGTCCAAGTCACGGGGCCTTGCTTGCACACTCTGTGCACAGGCACAAATGCAAACCCACTGACAGCCACTAGTCCACTCCTCACCTGTCCCTCCCCGCTGCGCCCAGCTCCTAGCCTTTCAGTGGCTCCCCAAGGTCCTGCCCAAGCACCCATCACCAGTCTCTTGGATTCCCATCAAGGGACTCCTGCTCTACTGGGACCATAGGCCGCCATCCCCATCTCTTGCCTCAGGGCTTTGCAAACCCAGGTCACCCCACCTCCCCCTCCATGGTGCCCCTTGGCATCCTCTCGTCTATGAAAACCTTCCTGCCTCCCCAAAGCCTGGCATCCTCCTCTGTACCGCATGGCACCCAGGCTGACCACCTCAGCCCTTAGGGCCCCGCACCAGTGCTGTGTAGTAAATGTTTCACCGCCAGCTCTCCAGAAAGGGATCCTGAATTGTAGCATTTACTAATTCCCATGGTGTAAACACTCCCACCAAAGCCAATTCTGAGCTACCAAATGCTCAGCAATACACCGTTATACAGTTATTTCTATGGTAGAGACGCAACAGGTGCAAGACAGCCTCAGGAGCACAGATGACAGTAACAAGTGGTAAGACAGGGTTTGAGTATTTCCGCTATTTTTCCTTTAATATAATTTATCTAACTTTGAGCTTGTATAATTTACTTTCTAATGACTGTATCTAACCTAGCTCAGTGTTACAAGCTGAATTGTGTTCCCCTAAGAGTCATGTGCTGAAGTCCCAACCCCCAATGCCTCAGCGTGACTGGTTTTGGAGATAAGGTGTTTAAAAGGGGTAATTAAATTAAAGCTAAATAAAATCATAAGGGTGGATCCTGATCCAGTCTGACCAGTGTCCTTGTAGGATGAGATTAGGATGGAAAGATGGAGGAGCGACCGTGTGAGGACACAGAGAACACGGCCCGTCTGCGAGCCAAGGAGAGAGGCCTCAGGGAGAAACCAACCCTGCCGACACCTTGGTCTTGGATTTCCAGCCTCCAAAAGTGTAAGGAAATAAATTTCTGTTGTTCAAGCTGCCCAGTCCATATTTCCTTATGGCAGTCCTAGCAAGCTGCTAACACACTCACAAAATTCCTAAAAATTTAGTAATTTGCCTACTGCTCGTGCTCCCCGGCTTTATCACTGACCATCTCCCACTTTCCCTTTTCCCAACTTGACTGTGGACCCTCAAGAGCAAGGTCACGTCCCACTGAAAAGTCACCAAATGCCTTCTGGAAAGGTCCAAACAAAAAATATTTTAGCTCTACCTAAATATGGCCGGTCCACTCTGCCGTGGCAGCGTGAAAGCAGGTAGTGGACGCGGTACACATGTGAGTGTGCCTCTGCCCCTGGGGAGCCATCCGTGAGTGCTGAAATGTGGACTGTGTCATTTAAGAATACAAAGTATTCTTCTGACAAATCTTTAAAAATTCTTAGCTCAGAATCTGTACAAAAACAGGCAGTGGACCAGATTGGGCCCTGGGCTAGTTTTGGGGGCCCCACCCTTTGGTCTGTCCCCCCCCCCAAGTCCCCACCCCCCCACCCCCACCGCAGCACAGAGCCAGGCACAGAGGGAGGAAAGACGCTATGTTAACGTTTGATGATCCAGGGACGAAGAAACGAAGCTCAACCAGCCGGCTCACAGGCTCTCCAGCTCTGCTGCCACAGACCACTTCCAGGCAATGTCATGAATCTTTTTTTAATGCAATTTTTTTGTCTAATATGCAAGAGAAAAGAAGAGCTTTCTGAAACATTAATCAAGTCTCTCCCTGCAAAGTAGACACATCACCTCTTTGTTGGCTCTAACATTCTAAATCATCTCTCAGAAATAAAATCCAGCACCTCTTCCATTCGTAACTTGCATTTACTGAGCATTTCAGAAACGTGCCAAATCTAACCTACGGAGACAGAGCTTCTGGGCAGGGGTTTGCCAGGGGTTGGGAGGGGAAGGGGCAGTGGGGAGGGGCTGCCAATGGGTGCAGGGTCTCTTTCCAAAGGTAGGAAAATGTTCTAAAGTCAACTGTGATGGTGGTTACACAACTCTGTGAATATATAAAAGCCAGTGAAATTTGCACTTTGAATGGGTGAATTGGATGGCCCGTAATTATATCTCAACAAAGCTGCTTGAAAATATTTGCTAGGCATTAGTCACCTGACTCTCACAATGTAATTTTTTTTTTTAAGATTTTATTTTTTAAAGGAATCTGCACCCAACGTGGGGCTCAAACCCATAACCCTGAGATCATGAGTCGCAGGCTCTATCAACTAAGCCAGCCAGCGCCCCTCAGAGTGACAATTTCTAAAGCCAGGCTTTTTTGCTGCTGTCCTTGCACCAACAAACAGGCCCCCTGTAGCATGAAGCTAGCTCAGCAACTGAAACTCAGATGGGCCCAAGGGAGGCCGGGGCAGCCCCAGGCAGGCACCTGTTTGCACACCTTCCACGGTAAATGTGACGGTGCCTGTCCTTGGCCTCTGCAGGAGAGGCTGCCCCCCCCAGGTGGAGGAGAGGCACATTGCAAGCCACACACAGGTAGCTAGTTCCCAAGCCTTCTAGAAACAGCTGGAACCTTCCTGTTTTCCACCTTCAAGTTCGGTTACTGAGCTGGAGGTTCCAATTAGCTGTGTGATGTGTCACCCTCCGCAGGCAGCCTTCGTAGGGCAGTGCAGACTCTACAGGCCCACGACCTCGTTTGGGAGTCTCGAGCAAAGGTTGGGAGTGGCTCCCTGGGTCCAAAGCCTGTGCCCGTGATGACAGGCGAGACTCCCGCCCAGATAGGCCACCTGGCCCCCGTGACACTGGTTGAGGCAGCGCAGAACAAGGGGAGCGAGGACACGGTCCTTGCTGAGTAGAAGCCACTTCCTCAGGTCCGGAGTGGAGGCCTAGGGCTGGGGGCAGGACACCCAAGTTCCAGTCCTGGTGGGCTGCCGTGTTTCTACCTGTGGTCCTCCGCAAGGCCCATGACCTCCCTGAGCCTCCTGAACACAGTTGTAAAATGGGCCTGGTCATCCATGTCCCCCTCTCCACCCCCCCCACACACACACCCACCAGGGGTGGTTGTGGATCCCTTGAATTCAGAGCTGTGGCTTCTGTTTGGGTAGAACTTGGCTGCATGTGGCACAAACATCCTGATTCTGTCAGGACTTTATTGGCTTACTTAAGTGAAAAGTCCGGGGAGTGGAATTCAGGCATGGCTGGATTCAGAAAATGAGCAAGGTGACGAAGACCTCGTCTTCTCTGAAGATCCGCAGACCAGCTCCCCTTTCCTGAGTATGGGCTCCTCTCTCGACAGGCCTGCCTTTCTGGCTGCCAGGTGGCCGCAGCAGCCCCATCCCCTCGGCACCCAAAATGCCAAAGCCAAGGGTAAAAACAGTCTCCCTCTCCTCCCCAAACGTAATGCAAGTCCTAAGCCTCTGGTGGGGAAGAACAGAGCCCTCATCACATGAAGTCTGGAACAGCAGGGGCTGTGGCCAGGGAGCTTTTGATCCTGGGCAGGTCAGTCAGTGGCCTGAGGGAAAAACCAGGCTTTCCAAGGCCCTACCCAGTCCCAAAGCATCTAGCCAACACCAGGAGACACAACAGCTCCCCTCCCACCACCTCCACCCGATTCAGAGTGAGGAATGAAAGGCCTTCTGGGGTGCTGGGTGGTTCATCGGTTCATGGGTCCAACTCTTGGTTTCAGCTCAGGTCATGATCTCAGGGTCACGAGACTGAGCCCTGGGCTCAGCAGGGTGTGTACTTGAAGATTCTCTCCTGCCCCTCTTCTCACTCACACACTCTTGCTCTAAAATAAATCTCAAAAAAAAAAAAAAAAAAAAAAAAGGCCTTCTTTGGGTCACAGGCAGCGTTGGCCCTGATCCTATAAACTTTCAGATCAGGCTATACCCCGCAAGGCTCAGCCCACCCAAACTGGGAGGGCCTGATGCACCCTCTCTGCAAGCCATGCCACCCACCACTGTCCAGGCCCCAACTCCTTGCCCTATGTTACTGTTGCCCAAATGGTACCAGTTGCACCAGTTCGTGAACAGCCAGTAGGTTACATCTGCCCAACCCACACTGGGCCCCAGAACCCCACCCCGGTGCTCCTGCCCGGACACAGGACTAGGCACCTTCTCATGTCTGGAAGGAATGCAAAGGAAGACAGTCTGTAAAGGCTGGGCTCCAGGTCTGAACTTCCAACCAACTGCATCTAAACTCAGAGGGCTCTCTAAAATTGGCATAAAAGCAAACACAGGGACAATGCAACTAGAGAAGTTAAAAAAAAAAAAGTGACTAAAGAGGATTAGATTTGGGACACCTGGGTGGCTTAGCAGCAGTTGAGTGTCTCCCTTGGGCTCAGGGCATGACCCCGGGGTCCTGGGATCGAGTCCCCGCATCAGGCTTTCTCCAGTAAGCCTTTCTGCCTTAAAGTCCTTTTTTTCTTACGACACAGGGTAGCCCAGGGCTTTCCCT